AAAAAATACCGCTCAAACGCCCGCATTGAAACAAACATCGAACCTGCACTGGAGCAGTTTTGAATGGTCGATGCGTATAGAATTAACGCAAAGACTTAGACCGCATGCGTGATCATCCCCGCTAGGAAGGCGGAAGAAAGCTTCAATCTTTTTGTTGAGGGAGCAGTTATAGTTGAGAATGAACTAATGAACCACAGGCTCCATCCTGGACCCCGTACGACTTCTCTTCGTTTTTTTCACAAAAGCGAATTCCAGCTTGCTCTCCGGAGACCTGCTGCAGAGAACTGTTTATACAGATTTTGTGTACAATTTTTAACTCAATGTTTCGTTTTTAATTACCAAATTGGAGGCCGTCTGTCGGCTATTCGTTTAGAAAAACGACTTCAAGCTAACCATTGAAAATATTTGAATCTTCCGCTCAATGCGCTCTCAAACCTTGGAGCCGCTTTGTGGACAGGTTAGTATTGCGGCAAATAGTTATTGGAGACTGTTGTAAAAATGAGTACTAGAAAAAGCGAAATGGAAGAAGGAACTGAAAACCTCGAATCCCAGGACCCCGTACTAAATTCTCTCTGCTTTTCTCCTTTAGAAGTTACTCTAGCAAACCTGCTGCCATGACTTGGCCTACGTTCAGCTCCGCATTTGTACATTACTAAACTTTGTAGCAAGTAGCACATATTCGAATCTCATTAACTTATCGAAAATATCTCAGTACCCTTGCTGTTTTTGTTCTTTTAAATCAAGAGGTTTAAACCATCGAAGTTGTAATACTTTGCAAAAGAGAATATACTACATCAATAATTTTCATGCTTTTTTGATTTTCACGTTGCAGCTGCCCTAACCTTCAGAGATTTAGCCATTTTTTTTTTGTGGACAAGTAAACAGTTCCAGGCTAGCTCAGCAAACATGTTCCGGAAAATTTTTTATTCTTCTTTTGTGCGACGTCGTAACTTCTCTTTATCTTAACGGATTATTTTCAAAGCCCTTCTCCCCTTGTTTATAATAGTAGGAAGGGCTCTTTGCAACAGCTTTATGTTATTGGCTCCAATTCAAAGAATACTGTTAAGATATCTTTTTAAAATTAATATGAGAAACTCACTGACCTATAGTATCAAACTTGCGTCACCTCCTAGAATCTAAAAGAAATCGACAA